CTTGGACTCCGCACGCGGTCCCCAACGAGAAAATTTACTACAGAGGATTTAGAAATGCAGAGAATATAACAGAATATACTCACCCAAGATCGGTACCACTTCCACCACTAATTGGTTTTTGGGTTGCCTTATCAAGGAAGCAAATTTCATAGTTGTACTCAAAGCTGTTGATCTGAATGCACTGTCCAACCAACTTGTCCCACACATTATCAGGTCCCAAATCCATTCCTTCCTTTTGCTTCAACTCAGTAACCTTAGATTCCATCTCTCTCTTTTTGATTTCAGCGTCTTGCAATCGCTGACGAACTTTTGCTGCATCCTTTCGAAGTAACTCGTTCTCCTCCGACTTTGAAAGAGTCGAGAATGGACTCTTGACGGCAGTGAAAAGCTTTCCCCATCCAGGCCAAATAAGTGGGTACTTGACGGTTTCGAATGTCCCCAAAAAGAGTCCACGCGCAGATTTGAGCAAGCAACGGAAAGTGGACGCTGTTGGATCAACACAAGGATCCATCAAAGCCAACGGATCCGTATCTTGCTCTGCGCCTCCAAACGACTCAAAGCTGACAACATCTGGCTCTACAGCAAGCTCAATTACAGCCTGTCCACCTTGTGTTGTGAACCCATGCTTGAAATCATCGTACCGCTGTAGAGTTTCTTTCAAAATCGGTTTGTCTCTCAACAAAGCCTCGAACGCAGCTCCCTCTTCCACGTTTTTGAGAGTCATCAAGTGATCTAAAATGGATTGAAGCTGAGTCACACGTGAGTTGAGCGTCTCAATAGATGAACGAAGTTCCTGCTTTCGGGTGTTGCAGTCGGCAAGTTGCTGGGGAAGTAAAGCCTTGGCTTCCTCACGCGACTGTTGAGCAAGAAGAGCATTCATGTGGGATTCATAAGCTTCCGCTTCGGATTTGAGGGCTGATTGATTGAATGGTTTAACTGGGGATACAACAGGGAAAATCACATACCAGTCAAATCATCAATGCGAGCTGTAATGTTTCGAATTTCACTCTCCAGGTCCTTAATTTGCTTTGTACGGGATGCTTTTGCATTTGCTGCAAACGAGAGGTACTCCTTCTTTACTTTGATTCCCTATGAACCAAACCAGACTCAATAACCTCTTCGCGAGAGAACACCTTACGTACCTTCTCTAACACGTTCTTCTTTTCTTGTTCCGCCTTTTTGAATTCGGCTCCGACTTTGGCACAAACGTTGGGGCATTTGATAGCTCCATTGTACTCGTCTGATCCGTCACAGCATGATGGATCTGAACACCTAAATGAGCACCCAAATCAGGGAACAATAACTGTGCCATACCACATACACCGTCGTTGACACGGGCACTTGGGATCTCAGCCCCAATATGCCCCGCATTCACACAATAAAAGACGCTGTTATTACACGCGGAAGTACCTAAATAATCAAGAAGATATCAGAAAATGAGAGGGAGTAGAACCGGACAGGTTTACCTGGCTCATCCGACCCATCTTCGCAATCGCAAAAGTCGTCATTGATGGAGCTCGCAGGAATGCTCTTTGATCCATCGAAACAGGCAAAGGCAGATGAGGCGTCTGAGGCGATGGCAGCTTGGAAAATGTGCTTCTCTGGAGTTGTGTGGGAGTCAATTGGGGCCAACAGGCAACCTGGTTAATAAACAGTGGAAATACGTACTTGACGGATGCACTCCGAGCAGTGGATCAGTGGCAATCACCGAGGTGAGAGCTACACTCAGAAACGCTAGTGCAAGGATTGGTTGCATTTTCTGTTTCGTTCCTTTCATTCAACAATGTCATAGAGATCCCAAATTCCCAACGTATTTGGCAGATAAATGAAAATTATGGACGAAATGAGAAGTTTCATATATCTTCGTTGGAAGAAATGTATTCAGACGTAAATCCAATTCAATCCGAACTCTCCTTCCTTCCTCTTCATGAATACTGAATATCGCTATTGGGGCATTTGATGTGAAGTATACGTTTCCTTTTCTTTTCTCTCCTTCATTAATTTATTTCCTTTTTCAGATGCCATCCTTGTCAACTGCCCTTGGCGCAGCGACGCGGTTGAAGCTGCTACAGAAACCTGGAAGAGGAACACTGAATGAAGCAGACTTTGTGGCTTTTGTTCGACTTGCGGAGGATGCATTGCGATCGCCATCCAACAGCGCATCTGGCAGCAGTCAGGCTCACAGAGATCCAATACGCGCAAGCAAATCATCATCACAAATAGTGATATGCTTTCACTTGTGCGGGCTGTTGTCAATGCATTTGGCTCAACAAATCAACCTGATCGGGTCAATAGTCTGCTTCCTTGGATCTCTGAACACGTTCTTCGACCAAGTAGCTCACTGATTGCAAAGAAAGAAACTGAAAGCAGTATGTACCGACTAGTCAAGTTTCTTTGGATTTGAACAGTTTTCTTAGTCATACGAAGTGTTGTCGCAACATACACCCACTGTTCTCGGCCGATGGAAGTTGAGCCATGGTTCTTATCATATATTCTGTCTGCTAGTGAGCCGGACTCCCAATCGCAATCTAAACACATTTCCATTTGTTATGCGGCTCTGATTGAATCTTATTGCAAAACACCCACACCCGACTCCCTCTCACGCGCCATTTTCTGCTCAATACCATGATTAGCCACAGTCGAATCAAGCCATCTCTATTGACGTATACTCATCTTCTGAAAGGATTCGCAGCCCTCGATGATATTGTAAACTGTAAACTCATTCTCGAAAAAATGACATTCATGGGACATGAGCCAGATCTCACTTTTTATACCATTCTAATTCAAGCATATGCAAAAGCGGGAGATGTACAGTCTGCCATGTCACTACATGAGTCTGTCACGAATACTACGATCGTTCTTGATACGCGTTACTACAACGCGTTAATTAACATGTACGCTAAGGCTTCAAACCGTGATAACAACGAATCCCTCGCCACTATGGTGCGGCTTTACGAAGAGATGACAGTCTCCTTGGTTCCTGATGAACACACGTATACAACTATGATTGATGCATTTATGAAAGCTCGCGAACCTCGTCTGGCAATATTTTGGTTCGACGTGATGCAAGGACGGAAACCGTACTCAAGACAGTTTGTTGAACCACTTGGAATCCCAGCCGTTCCTATTCATCCCCCAATAATACCGACCGCGCCAACATATACAGCAATAATAAGTGGATATGCGCACCAAAAAAATGTGGCAGAAGCATTACGATGGTTCCAAGAGCTGTGTCAAAGCCAGACTCGACCAACTGAAGGAAATGTGCCAAATATAAAGACTTATACTGCTGTTTTGCACGGATTTTCAAAAGTTGGGGACATGCGAGGGGCTGAGAACTGGATTCGGAGGATGGAAAATGACAGTTTGGAAACAAACTCGAAATCCGGCTTTGATCGACGTGTTTTCAACACACTTATAAGCGGATACGCTAGTAAACATGATTACGAGGGTGCAAGGAAAGTTCTCTCGCAAATGGGCGAGAATGGGCTTCACAGCGATGCAATTACCTATGGGCAAGTAAAACCGGATAGTTCAACATAGTGATATTAACAATTTCTTAAAGAATGCTTATTGACAGTCATTTGAAACGAACTTCTTCGTTTAAAGATGGTGACATTGAGGCTGCACTTCAAACTTACAAAACGATGATATCGCAAGGCATCAAACCAACGCTCCACATTCTTACTGCATTAATTTCGAGGCTCGGACATATTTGTGGAAAGTCGATAGTTTGGGTCGACCTGTTATATCCCGACAAGGAGGAGGGCTTCCACATATCTCTCGACAAATGCAATCAGTGTCGGTTGATTCCATTCAACTGTCTCCAGGAGCACCAATATCACCACAACGCCCAAAGGCTGTTCAAGAGCAGAATCTTTGTTTCCTCTATGACACATACCGATCCTCGATATCAAAAATACTGAACCAAACCAATGCATCAAACTCAGAACCTCCCTTGCCTATTTACGACTCAGTCGCTGCCCATTATTGTGCGACTCACAGTGTTCCTAAAATCAAAGAAACAGTTTACCACGCGTTAATTGATGGCGCCAATATCGACACGAGTCTGTTGGTTCGAGCTGCAAAAGGGATTGGCAGGGCTGCGGGATGGTATGCGATATACGCGTTTTCGCGAGACTTAAACAAAATTGGAACGGATTTGCTGCGGATCAAAACGGTTGAGTTGTCTCAATCAAAGGGAAACTCGCCAGACGATGTCAATGCTCTTGACGGGCTATTGATGCCTATGGGAGAGCTTGGGGCTCTGAAAAAAAGTCTTGCTGTGAACGGAGCGGGACGGCTTGTGTCAGGGCTATTAGATCGTGTGGATGACCTTGAATCTGCTATGCATCGATGGATGAAGGAAGAAGACTTTGGAGAGCTCATGAAAAAGGCGAACGAAGTTTTGATTGCGTCGTATCTTGCTTTCGCTTTCCAAGGGAGGTCTTTCGAGCTTAGAGGAGCAGATATTGTTGCTTGCTCCAACGCATTGAAATATGACGCTGATTCACGTAATCACTTCATTGGCGTTAATTTAGTTACGGATGTTGGCGTGATGGACTTTTGGAAATTCCTTGTGAGGATACAATCTCAAGCAAAAGCTGGCTCGTTAACTAGTTCGGATTTTAAAATATTATCAAATGTTTTAATACGACATTGTGAGTTGAATGGACTCTGGACAGCACGAGATGATGTTGTGATTTGGCTTCGAGAGAATGGTAGCCTGTACAATGACAAAGAATACAGAAGTGGCTTGGAAGTAGTAAATAAACATTTAGGTTCTGATTTCTGTGACCCATTTGAGCCTACCACTTCTGTCGAACATAAAAAAAACTTCAAAAGCATCGCGCTGCGAATCGAGCTCTGCGTAAACGGTAAATGACGAAAGAGGTCAGTACTTCACTCGTCGAAAGCTTGCTGACTTTTTTGTGTGGTTCATATAGTGTGATTTCATGACACCACAATTCAGACCTCCACCAACCAATTGAAAAAATAAGCGAGAGCAGCAGGGTTTGAACCTGCGCATGCAGAGCATACTGGATTTCAAGTCCAGCTCCTTAGACCACTCGGACATACTCCCGTATTTCCCAAGGCCTAACCCAATATCATAAAATCTTTCCGCACGTATGAAGCTCTATGGCGATAGAAAAATCGAGGAATATGTTTATGCATAGGACAAATTTCAAATATTAAGGTATTCTTGCTCAATCAGTTTCATTTCTTCTTGTATCAACAATTGCTCCAAGTTTCCCGGTTTCATCAATACTCCATTCACTCAAGTCATATCCAATGACGTTCTTTTATTCACTATTGTTTGATAACCCATGGAAACAAAATCAAGGGCTCAACAAGCGCCACCATAATATGGCCAATCATGGTTCCATTTGGATTTATGTATCGTAACAAATTGGACCTACTTGCGAAAAGAAGCGAGGAAGGGGTATTTTGAAGTCGAAGTGTCCTCGCTTTGGCAAAGTGTGTGAAGCAACAACCACAAACGCAACTCCCAACCAAAATTACTACACTAAGGTCGTATCCGGATTCGAACCGGAGTTACTGGTATCAAAAACCAGGGTGATCACCACTACACTATACAACGCATATTGCCCATCCATGATAAATAATTATTTATCCGAATTTTGTGACCTTGCGCGTTGAATCAGTAATTTAACTAACACTATTGCATTCAAAGAGATATTGTCGTGGTATCTACTTGCAGAGGACACTACGGGGCCTGCAAAGTGATTTTTGAATAACTAGTAGAATCGAATGGATCCAAGAACCCTCACACAAACCGTGAGCGGTATCTATGACACACTCTGCGTCCCTGAAACAACTCTTACCAACTGCTGGATAGGACCGGTTGATATTTTCTGTAAAAAAATGTCATTAAATAAACTGTTGCACTGAGATGACTGATAGATTGCAATAGTGGAAGTATTTAAAATGAGTTAGCTCATATGTGACATTCCATTGCGTAAACAATGCATAAACTGATATGGTGGGCTGATTTAACAATTGTATCACCTAATCAACGGTGATACGAGTTTCATTCACGATCAATTATTAATATACACAATTATTTATAATCGTCTGGCTTCTTGCAGACGGTAATACCTCCATTTCATTTGGTTGTGGCTCGTCTAGTGTTAATTTTCGGAACGAAAGCGTCTTCCAGTCAGTGGCTTTGATCACCACCCTTATCCATTTCATTTCTTGGCAATGTAACTCATCTGCTTCTCGGTTCCGCGCGGTTCCATAGTCGTCAGTTCGATGTGCATCAGTGACAAACAGACATCCAAGTTTTCGTCCGGTTAAAATCCTGAGGAACCTCGCACAAGATGGCAAGTGGCGCTAAATGCTTGGTAGAAAATTTCCGTGTTACCGTGGTCACGTTGTCAAAATGATCCACGAGACTTTGGCGAAGTGGCCACACACCACCTTGGAAACAATACATAAACAGCAATATTCTTGTCCAATGAAGCACATCAACTGAAATCTTACTTAAATGCTCTTGTCTGTCGTCTTTGCTGCCGCTGCTCTTGTTGCCGCTGCTCCAACCCAAGCACCACTGCCACACAATGTCTCCTGGCACTTGAAGGATGGTGTCAAGAAGCACGAAGCCTTGAACCTTGCTGCTACCTCTGCTCACTTGACCTACTACGGAGGACCAGTCATCTCAAATGGTATATGTCATTTGTTCACATAATCATATGCTTCAAACTACCCCTAACCAACCAATCACTTCAAACAGTCGAAGTCCACCCTATCTTCTACGGTAACGCCAACTACCAGTCCCAAACCAATGCCTTCTACGCTGGTGTTGTTCAGTCTTCCTGGTACGACGTTTTGGCTCAATACAATGTCAACCGCGGTTCCGCTGTTCCAGGATTCTCTGTCTCTGCCACCAAGACTGCTTTGGACGACGTCAATGACATCCACCCTTTCCTCACCAACTTAATCTCAACTGGACAAATCAAGCCAACTGCCAACACCTACTACCCAATCCACTTTGCTCCAGGAATCAGCATCACCCAAGGTGGAAGTGCTTCTTGCTCCGTCTTCTGCGCGTACCACGGGACCATCGATATCTCCTCCTTGAACGTTGGTACCAAGTACCTCTACTACGGAGTTATTCCAGACCAAGGAGGTTCCTGTGCTGGAGGCTGTGGAAGCAACCCATCCACAGTCAACAACATGTTCTCTGTCGCGTCCCACGAGCTCGCTGAAGCTGCTACCGATGCTGCTGTTGGTGTTGCCACCGTGATTGGATCCCCACTCGCTTGGTACGACCAGACCAACGGAGAGAACGGAGACATCTGTAACGCTCAACAAGGAACCACTGTTGGTGCTGATGGAGTTACTTACGTTGTTCAGAAGACTTGGTCCAACTCAGACAACGCGTGTATGGCAAGTGGTCCAAAGCCTGCTACCACCACTGCTGGTGGTGTCAAGACCACGACTGCTGCTGGAGTCAAGACCACTACCGCTGCTGTCCCGACCACCACTGCCGCTACCACCTGTGCTCACAGCAAGTGTGTTACTGGTGTTGCTTTGAGATCTACCTGTGACACTTGTGTCGCCAAGATTGTTGCCGCTGACAGCTACTGTGGATCTACTTCTTGGGACAGCACCTGTGTTGGCGAAGTCAAGTCTGTCTGTGGAATCACTTGCTAAATGCGATAAAACGCGTTAATTATTGTTTTGAAATTTGTGTGGTGTACACTTGCTCTATGTTTTACAATTGTCCAGATTTGATTAGAAATAAAAGATAACTATTCTGGTAATGATGTAATCTTAGGTAGAAGGGATGGGTGTTCATAAGAGTATTCCAAGTGCCAACTTATGGGAAGATAAGAGCCAGTTGATTCCTAAGGAGCCAGAAAGAGTATTTTTCATTGAAATTGGAATGAAGGGTAATAAAATTTAATGCGATCCGAAGAGAGTAATAAAATTGCGGTGCTTATTTAGGTAATTTTGGAACAACTAACAGAATCAAATGGATCCAACAGGCCTCACCCAAACCGTGAGCGACATCTGTAACACACTATACGCACCAGGAACAACTCTCACCGCCTACTGGAACGGCGCAGGACTCCAATTCACGCTCCCCTCTTACTCCGCAAAAATGTCAAGCCTTGCCCAAGCGCTCACGCTTTTCCCAAACGCCCTCCCAACCACAGACCAAACCGTCTCGTTCCTCGCAAATATACTATTCGAAAGCGCGTGTCTCTCGACAAAGGAAGAAGCCCAGTGCGTGAAAGATCCTGGAAACTGTGTGAAACTGTATGGTGATAATTATTGGGGTCGTGGGTATATCCAACTCACGGGGAAAGCGAATTATCAGGCGTTCGCCGATGCTATTGGACGACAGGATGTAGTTGCGAATCCTGGGTTGGTTGCGAGTGATGAGACGTTGGCGTGGGCTTCTGCTGTTTGGTTTTGGAAGGGGAATTGTAAAGGGGCGAGCACGGTTGGTGATGCGTTGATGTGTATCAACAGTTTGGAGTGTTCAAGTGCGACTTCGACAATGTATTTTCAGTTTGCTCCTGTTTATCGGTTGTTGATTGCGCAGAAGCTTGCGGGCGCCGTTGGTGTAGGAGATGCTTCTGCAAAGAGTGTTGCTGTTTGTCCACAGATGGGGACTTCGTTGGAGACTGCTTGGGATCAGTTTTGTAAGTATCATGCAGGGACTCCAAGTGAGAGTGTCACTTGTGGGAAACCGATTGTTGTAGTAATTGGGGAAAAGGTGATGGGAGGGGTTTCAGCCACCAAAACGATGGATGGAAGTGGTTCAACTACAACGACGGCAATTACGTCTTCATTCTCGACAGTTTTGTCCTCTGGAGTATCACCTGTAGATGCAGTCCCTACTTCAACTCGAATTCAAGCAGTAGTCTCCACAAATTCAGTAAAGGGTTCTCCAACTGCAAGTTCATCTGTTCTCATGCACCCTATTTCTAAATTCCTTTACTTATATTTCGTTCTTTTTGTGAATTAAGAGGTTAGTAAGCAAAAAAAAAAAAGACAATATGGAAGCCGCCATCTCTTCCATCTGCTCTGAATACTATGGCTCTGGTACACTTCTCCAACGATACTGGTACGGTGCAGGAAACTCGTTCACTCTGCCAACTGGATCTGTCCTCGACGGCAAGATTGCAGGATTGAATGCCGCACTGGCTCAGTTTCCCGGTACCCTCACTACGACAGATGAGAAGATTGCATTCGTGGCCAACATTCTTTTTGAAAGCATTTGCTTGTCGACGACTGAGGAGGTTCAATGTGTCAAAGATCCAGGCAATTGTAAGGGGATTTACGGTGACAACTTTTGGGTAAGCAGTCGCTAGTTTCTTTGTGTTGGGTCAAGAATGATCAGACTGAATGTCAATCATGAACAGGGACGTGGATACATCCAGCTGACGGGTAGGGCCAACTATCAAGGATTTGCTGATGCAGTGGGCCGTCAAGACATCATGACGAATCCAGGATTAGTTGCGACGGATGAAACTTTGGCGTGGGGATCTGCGGTTTGGTTCTGGAAGTTCAATTGCGGGGCTGCATCGACGGTTGGGACTGCACTCAAGTGTGTGAACAGTTTGGAATGTTCAAGCGCTACGTCAAGTGTCTTTTTCCAGTTTGCGGCTCCATATCGGCTTAAGTACGCTCAAGCGCTTACGAATGCGTTGGGTGGGAGTGATGGAACGGATCAGAGTATTTCCGTGTGTCCGCAGATGGGTACATCATTGGACACGGCTTGGAGCCAGTTTTGTCAGTATCATGCGGGAACTCCAAGTGCTAGTGTGACGTGTAATAATGCACCTCCTTCTCCATCTGGTATGGCTTTGACTTCTACGGCTGTTGATCGTGTTTTGACAACGTCAATGGTTCCACTTGTTCCGTTGGTTACCACTCTAGATCAAGGCAAGACTTCACCTGTTACTACTGCAGCTGCTGTTACTACTGATCAAGGAGTGAAGACTTTGCTCACTACGACTTTACTGCCAACGGCTACTTCGCAACCAACGTTGACCGCGGGAGCCAATACCTTACAATCCACGTCTACCAACTCAGGTCAGTCGC